GGGTGCTGGAGCAACCATGTGGAGACCCCTGCCAGCGCTGAGATGCTTACACATTCACTGATTGGGCTTTCCTCCTGCAGTCGGCATCATGGTGTGTGTTTTGTGAGATGGAGGAGAACTTTGTGGATTGATGTCGGACATATGGGTTAATGTGGGACTTGGGCAGCACTGGGTTGGGATGTTTTCTTGATGCACACTTACCCTTTATATAAAACTCTCTCTTATACTTGAGTTTCTGTGGATTTGCTTCTCTAAAGTACCCAGACTGACACAGCGAGGTGTCAATTAATTCCACATGGAAGAAGCACACCAGCCTGTGTGATCTAAGAATCATAAATAATAAAGTCCACATTGACAGGAGGGAATGGCATCAGAGGTTACATTGCTGTAAACACTTGGTTTGCAGAAGGGTCTGGATGACAGGGGAAGCCCCAAATCCATGTGCAGAGTCCATGCGCGGATTAAGCCCCCAGTGAACCCCCTCTAACCATCGTGTGAACAGAAACCCAGGATAAGCAAAACACTACTAAGAAACCAAAACAAAATGAGAGGCTTCTCCTTCCCCGATTTCAGAATCTATTACAGAATATCACCACGATAATAAAAACAGCGTGCCATTGGCACAGTGATAAAGATATAGACCATTGGATCCGAACAGAGGACCCAGAAATAAAGCCAAGCACCTATAGAAACAGGATTTTTAATAAAAGACCAAAAAACATTAAATGGACGAATAGTCTTCTCAACAAATGGTTCTGAAAAAATAGACACCATATACAAAAGCAAACTCAAGATTGATGAAAGATCCTGGATCCACAAATAAAGAGTCTAACTTCCGAGCCCTAATGCAGAGGCACAGAGGCACTACAAAACATAATGGAAAGCATTCACACCACAGAAGACCAAACAGAGGAACAGGAGGTCCTAAAAATATATGCATGTACAGCAAAAATGTAGAAAAAGAACACGGATTGGGGGGGAATTGGAAATGATATATGGGGAAAGGGGCAGTTCTCAGAAAGTCCTAAAAAAATTAGAGATTTCAATAAGAGAAAGAAAAAACCCATTTAAAAATGGACAGACAATGTAACTAGACAATTTACCAAAGATGGCATTCAAGTATTCAGCAAGCATCTGAATAAATGCCCACAATCATTAGTGATAAGAGAGACACAGCTAAACCAGTGATGAGCTGCCACCTCGCACTGACACGGACAGCAGACATTTAAAAACAAGCAAACAAACAAGATAAGTGCTGGAGAAGATATGGGGAGGTTGGAACACTCAGAGTTGGTAGGACTGCAGAATTGTATGGCCAGTTTGGAACACAGTAAGCACTCTCTTAAACGGATGCACATAGAAATACCTTATGAAATAGAAATCTCTCTACTCAGTACAGTCCCCAAGGGACTGAAGAATAAAACACAAACAGATGTGGGGGGAGGTCAGATGCGCAGGCATTCCCCCACTGAGGGCA